TCCTTATTATGATCTTTATTAAATATATTTGGTTATTTAATGTCATGTTATACATCCTACTTTTTTCTCTTTTTTTTTTCTTAATCGTAAAAAATTAGTTCGGAAAAAAAATCTATTTATTAATAACGGAACCAAAGTGACAGCAACGTTGTGTTCTGCACTGCAGAAAAAGCAGAAGAAGAACTGGGCGCACATTAAAACCCTCTGCCTTCACTCGCCTCTTCCTTTTATTACAGGGTGAAATCTTGAAACCCATTAGAGCTCCGTTTTTAGCCGATTTTCTTCTTAAAGCCTGGCGCTGAAGAGGCGGAGAGGTCCAATTATAGGAAACAAGGTGCACATGTGACTGCGCGCGCTTGGTTTTTTTTTTTTTTTTTTTTTTTTTTGGTAACGAGTTGGAGTGTTTGTGCGCCGAGGGGGGAAAGAGGGGTCTCAGCGGTGAGTTATCAGAAACAGTTTGGTGTGTGTGTGTGTGTGTGTGTGTGTGCGCGCGCGCGCTTGGAGAGAGCTCTCCACCGGAGCGATTTAGCGGATTTCAGGTGCGCCATGTGCGTAACGGTGCATCCAAGGCTGCAAGACGCGCGTCCACGTCTGACAATTTGATTTATTCTGCGAGGTAAAAAAAAATATTATAGACAGTTGTTTTTAATTCTTCGTTGTTTTGTTTTGTTATAATAAATATTCAGCGGCGATTTTTTTTTTATTATTATTATTTATTTTTGGCCAAACATTTTTAATACCAGACGTGTGTCTTATTTCTGTTAAATCTCCATCTTGCCTGGTACGTAAAAAAAAAAGATATATAAAATAAAGTTTCTGTTCGGTGCAGTAATTAAATTGTAGCCACGCTCCTATTGGCTGCAGAGAAGCTCGGCTCCTCCTCTGACGCGCACAGTCCGCATGTTATAAGAGCCGCCGAGCATCCTCACCCTGAGCTTTATCTGATCTAAACTCTGCGGGGGCAGGCTTCAAGTCCCATCACTGGTTAAAGGGGGGAGGTGGGCTGCAGAAGACCAGAGACTACCCCTGGGCCCCGCGCGAGCTGGCGACACCTGCTTCGGCTGAAAACCCTCCTCCTCTCTTGGACTCCTCGCAAACTCTGATTTCTTTCTAAAATAATGCAGCTAGAGAACATCCTTCCCAGCGCCAGCATCAATCTACCCAAGACCTTCTACAACCTGTCCTCCTCAGACACCGCCAGCACYAGCCCCAGGCCCTCCTCTCAGCTCGAGTACCAAGAGGTGGAGCGGGAGTCCTTGTCCGGCGGTGCCAACAAGAAGTACCTGAGCGGGGTGGGCAACGGGATGCTGGGGGAGGGAGAGGGGGACGCCGGGAGGAAGGGCTCCCCGGTGCTGGGGGAGGACGAGCTGACGAGTGGCCGGCGGTACAACATCGACGAACTCGGTTCTGACAGATACTTCATCTCGTCCTCCCAGGCGAGTTCCGACATGGCGAACCCGTGTTCCTTGTTTCCGTACGCGGGACAGACGGGCTCGGTGTACGGCGGCACGGGCGGCTCCAGGTACCCGGCCTCCTTGCATTACGGCTCGGTCCTGCCGCCCGCGGGCTTCTCCGCGCCGTCCGTGTGCAGCGGCCGGAGCCAGTTCGGCAGCGGCGGGTACCAGTTCAGCCAGGGGCCCGGCTGCTTGTACCCGTCCTACTCCGGGACGGGGACCGGGATCGGGTCCATGTCTCTGCCCGGCTCTGCTGCGGGGGCTCGGGCTCAGGTGTACCTGTGTAACCGGCCTCTGTGGCTGAAGTTCCACCGGCACCAGACCGAGATGATCATCACCAAGCAGGGCAGGTAAACACACCCCGGGCCTCCTATAATAATAATAATAATAATAATAATAATAATAGTTTTAAACATTTGCGTCAACTTAAAAAAAATGTGCAAAATCTTTTTAAACTAAACATAATTTCTTTTTTTTCTACTAATTTCAAATAAAATACCAATAAATAAATAATTTGGTTTTTAATTGGTTTTCTTCTTCTTTCAGACGGATGTTTCCTTTCCTCAGCTTCAACATCACGGGCCTGAACCTCACGGCCCACTACAACGTGTTCGTGGAGGTGGTTCTGGCCGACCCGAACCACTGGCGCTTCCAGGGAGGCAAGTGGGTCACTTGTGGAAAAGCAGACAATAATATGCAAGGTGGGTTAAAGATGAAACTAAACAAAACTGATGACATTATGATTTTAGAAATCTTAGAAATAATAATAGCATAAAAACTTAAAGTGTTCATTTATTAATTTGTGAAAAGTGTTATAATTTATTTATTGATTACAAAACTGTCAACAGAGTGTAGGTTTAATTAGAACGATTTGTGACACGCTTTAAAATAAAAAATGGCATTTTTAAAAAATATTTAAATATAGCTGTCAATGATCTCAGCTGTGTTTTTATTTTACTTGAGGTTTTATTTTGAGGCCTTCCATGAAAATTCAAAATTTGCAGGCCAAATTATTTTTAGTTAGTTAAAAACCCAAAGCAGGACATTTAAAAAAAACAGATGTTGAATTAAAAATTTGAATTAAAAATGTCATATTTGATATCCCAAATTAAAATGTGTTTTATTATTATTTTAATATTATCTATTTTATTTCTCCAGTCAGGTTTGTCGCACCTTTTCTGTAATTGTTTATTTTTAATTAGCTAAAACATTATGAAGAATTTTTCAGATTTAATTTATTTACAAATGTAGAAAATATAAATATTTTACAAACTGTTAATTTTTTTAATTTAATTTATACTTGTGTAGAATCYTGATTATATTGGTGCATTTTATTTAATTCCTTTTTAGGTAACAAAGTGTACGTTCACCCTGAATCTCCAAACACCGGTGCTCACTGGATGAGACAAGAAATCTCTTTCGGCAAATTGAAGCTGACGAACAATAAAGGAGCCAACAACAACAACACACAGGTTAGATCACAGTTCACCTGCTTGGCTTTGTTTTGCCCACATTAGGAAAAAGAAAAACAATCRTTTTGATTATTATCTAAATGAATATGCAGTCGATCTGCGTTCGGCAAAGTGTTGAACTTCTTTTACTCGTTTCCTGTTTTCAGATGATAGTGCTGCAGTCGCTTCATAAATACCAGCCCCGTTTGCACATTGTGGAAGTGACGGAGGACGGAGTGGAGGACATGAGCAACGAGTCCAGAACCCAGACCTTCACCTTCCCAGAGAACCAGTTTATTGCTGTCACAGCTTACCAGAACACAGATGTGAGTTTTTCATTTTGTTCAGTATTTTTGTGCTCCGATTCATTTGAATGTTTCTCCTCAGCCGAGCTGCTGCTGTTTAGGTGCAGGCTATTAACAGAGGATTATTTTTGTTTTCAGATCACACAGCTGAAGATTGACCACAACCCATTTGCAAAAGGCTTCCGGGAYAACTATGACTCGTACGTGTCTTGCACTTCGTACGCTGTGGTTATTTTCTTTTTCTCAACTTCATTGCACATCCTGAACCCTGTAGTTATTATTAATAATTTTTAATGAGTGTAATTTCTTCATCTATGAAACAGGATGTACACAGCTCCGGAAAGCGACAGGCTGACTCCGTCGCCAACAGACTCGCCTCGCTCGACCCAAATCGTGCCCGGAGCTCGCTACGCCATGCAGCCTTTCTTTCAGGACCAGTTTGTCAACAACCTGCCTCAGAACCGCTTCTATACCGGCGAACGGGCCGTGCCCCAAACCAACAGCCTTCTGTCCCCGCAGAGCGAGGACCCCAGCGCGGCTGCTTCRGCCCAGCGCTGGTTCGTCCCCCCGGTCCAGCAGCCGGGCTCCAACAAGCTCGACCTCTCGTATGAAAATGACTATTCCACCAGCAGCCTGCTGTCGTACGGCATCAAACCTCTGTCCCTGCAGACRTCCCACGCCCTCAGCTACTACCCAGACTCGGCCTTTGCTTCCATGGCTGCAGGCTGGGGGACTAGAAGCTCTTACCAGCGCAAAATGACCACGGGCCTGCCCTGGTCCCCTCGCCCCAGCCCCCCAGCGTTCTCAGAGGACCAGTTGGGGGCCAGTAAAGAAAAGCTACCGGAGGAGACCGCTCAGCCCACCTCGACCTGGATCGAGACCTCCCACTCTCTGAAATCAATGGACTCTACCGACTCGGGTGTGTACTCCATGGTGTGCAAGAGGCGCAGGATGTCCCCCGGGGGCTCGAGCACAGAGAACTCCCCGACCATCAAGTGCGAGGACTTGACTACGGAGGAGTACAACAAGGACAACCCAAAAGGCATGGGTTATTATGCTTTCTACACAAGCCCCTAAGACTGTATTTATTTCAGCTGAATATGATGATTTGGTTTTGATCAATGAGTGACTCCATTCCTTGTTAATGTCTTTTTTCTCTTTTCTCTAAAGGTGCCAAAGCTTAGTGTTTCCCCAAGCAAGCTGCACAAGGTTATTTTCCCAGGCCAGCCCCTCTCACATGAGCAGAAACATGCATAGTGATTTGTTGTTTTCAAAAAATAATAAAAGAGGAAAAAAATGAAGCATGTTCCAATTAAATTCAATTATTTTTTCAACATTTTTTTTATTTTAAAATGTGATTTCTTCTTTTCCCCCCATATTCTGCGTATTTAAGTCCTTTTTGTTGTACAGTATTTGTGCACTTTAGAATGTGATGTATCTTGTACAAATTGTCTTCATGGAGGTGTTATTAAATGGAAAAATAAAACTGGCTTTTCATAAAGCATTGTGGAAATGACTTCCTCAGGATGCTTCATTCCCTTAAAGTACGAGTTGCTCTTTCACTTCACGCTGCTTTTAAATATAAATGCATTTTTTTTTTTAAAAAGCATGATGATGACTGAGCAAGCTGGAGTTGGTACACTTTCATTTATTGCAAATGATTTCTTAGTGTTGAATAAAATATTTTATGTTGCTTAATCCACGGGGTTAAAAAAAAGCTTACAGAATCTGCTAAATTAAATGGTTTCAATTAAACTGGTGGTCCAAGATCATTTAAATTTTATTTTAAACATTTATGCAAACACATCTGTTCTCAGAAATGCAACTAAACATGCTACCGTAAATAAGATAAAAACATTTAATAGTTTTAAGAAATTAATATATCCTTCCCTGCTGTGGACTTTCAAAACTTGCATAAAAGCTCGAGAGCCGCCGCCCTTTTTTTTAACGCCATAAATAAAAAGCCGCAGAGTGACACTAACCGCTCGCTATTCAAGTGAGCAAAGCAGGATTTTAATATAGCTTTACAAGACTAACAAGTTTTACATGACATGACTGACAACACGAGGCCCCGGTGAAAAGCAACCCAAAAGTCCTGCTTTGGTTGTTGCCATGGCGTTTTTCACACATTTTAGCATTAATTTAAGTAATGCAACTACATGTGAGGCATGTTGGAAATGTGAAAAATGGGCTAAAAGAYGAAAAAGGGGATCCAGAAACCGTCAGGCTAGAGTTCAGCTCGACGCCTCTATTTATAAAGCTCATACGGCCTCTCCAAAGCTGCATTAGTGGAGATAAAATCTTTAAAGAGGGAAGTCATAATAAGCCGCTTGGCTCGTGTTTGAGGCACCTGCTWTTCTTCTGCAAAAATACCTCATTTCCACCCCTTTGAGGACCCCAATTTGAATTGATTTACATACTCAAATTCTAATTAATTCTGTTGTCAGACTCCTTGACAAAGTGAGGAGTCTGACTAACTCCAATTAACACCTCCTAACAAGGTAGAGTGCTTGATTGCCCCGGCCTCTCAGGAAAGCTG